TTCATTCCAAATAGTAAAAAAAAAGGCTACATTGTGGAGGAGACAGAGGTCAAATACTCGTGTCCTGAAGATGAATTCCATGGGCGTCTCCTGTTTCTCCAAAGAATATTCATTCTAGAGGCGTCACCGGACTTCATCCAAGCTGATCAAGAGCAACTTCTGGAAGGCAAGGACTACATGCAAGATACTGAAGGTCCCTCAACCCCCGGCATCAAAGATCAAATTGTCAAGAAGACATCAAAGGGGAGATTGCAAGGATTTCTTCAGATAGCCTTCCTCAGAAGTCAAGTTCAAAGACAAAGGAAGCTCAATAACAACAAAGACAAAGATATCTGCGCTGCAATGCTGATTCAACACGATTGATCACCAAGGGGGAGATTGTTGGGAATATTTTATGGTGTTCAATCTAGTTAGTTATCTTTGTATTTGTGTAGTTATTAATTAATCGTGTAATACGGGCCACAAATGTGTATCAGCCCGTGGGCTTCCTTGTAACCCGTAAGTTAGCCAACTTCTCCTATAAAAGGAGGCTAACTTACGGGAACCCTAACGATCGATAGAGGCTTAGAGTTCAGAGGCGTAAAGATAGAGAGAGTTTAGGTTTGCCGCTGCTCTCCTTCTCCAGGGAGAGCAGCGGCCGGTTTTCATACGGTATACCAGATTTGGGTATAAACTTGTCGATTTCTTTCTATCTGCTTCTTCTATAACTGCTATATTTGTTGTTTGTTAGTATTCTGGGATTAACACTTTACCTTTCAAACATAGTATGCAATTTCATAGAAACTCTCATATCATATTCCATGCATATTCATGTACTTCATTTCATACATGCCTAATCATTTTGGCTAATCACATGTTTAAATATCTTTTAGACATCATTATGAATACATATAACATTCATTTAGGTAATCTCATAGTTAACCCAAAAGTTATAAGATATTAAGCCATCCACTCACCTTAAATAAACTATAGCGTGTTCTACGCTCCTCGGTTGAACTCCGGCGAAACTCCGGCGAACTCCGGCGAACTCTAGAAACCCTTTAGTCAATTTCCTAACAAGGTTTTATCATCATAAAACTCATATCAATACAAATAATCTCTAAAAGGTTATTTCCCGACGAACCGGTAATTTTGATTATAAATCCGTTCTTGGACTATGAATTACTTTCCAACCCATTTTCTACATATTTGAATATGTATAACCATAAAAAGGATTCGTCCTATGTTATATAACTCATATGGTAAAAGAAAAATAGAGGAAAAGTTAATACAAGGTCATTACCTTATTTCTTCACACTTTTCCTAACTTTTTCTCTCTTTAATCTTCCTCTTTGGATCCTCTATTGTTTGAGTTCTCTTCAAGAATGGAGGAAGAAGGCTGGAGAGTTCCCTACTCTTGCTGGGTGTGGGTTGGCCGAAAATGATTAAGGAAAAGGGGTGGGTGTATCTTTTGTGTCAATAGTATGAGTGGAGTGGGGGAGGGTCCACCTTATTTGTTTGATGCCATTCCCCTCCCATCCACTTCTATCCAACCAGCCGGCCAACCCCCCTCAAATGAGTGGCTAAATTCGTGGGTTGCCCCCCACCCATGTGGGAGGTCAACCCTTTTTGTCCAGACGCGTACAATCGGTCCCGAAAGTTGTATTTTTTGGACTGCTTTAAATATATTTTATTTTATCGGGTCAAATAAAATATATTATGTGCTCTTACTCATTATAACATTTGTAATGAATATACATTCCTAACTTTTAATTTATAAGCCTCCGAAATTCATTTCCGGGCTGTTATCTATTAAATTATCGATACCGGTATTTGGGTCTCTTTTGCCCAATCGGTCAACTCCGGGCCTTTCCACGACCCAAATAAAATATCCACCACCATATAAATATTATATTCATCAAGATGAATAAAATATGTGGTCTCGGGAAAGTTGGGTGGTCCCCGCCCCCGATGTGGGTCCCACGTGCAATTTACTATTCACGTGAAAGAATTAATAAAAATTTACAACTTCATAAATTCATTGATCATTCCATAGTGTCTAATACAATATTACTAAGAAGTAAATATAATTCGGGGACGGTGTTATATATACTCTTTTTCCTCCGTTAGGATTTTTTCCCACAGGGTTTTTCCTCAGCGGAGTGTTTAATGAGGTATCCCTTTGTCATGACCATGGAAGAATAGCAACCCTGTCGGGCGAACGGGCCCAAGAAATTGAAGATTTACTCTCTCTCACCTCAAGTTTCACTTTCGCTTCGGAGAGTGGGGGACTCATGATTGAGTATATTCCCGTATACCCCAGGGGCATCATAATCACCGGTATAAAGCATCACGGATTCGTTCCGGAGTGAGCGAAAGACCAAGTCCACAAATATGCTGACCCCGACCCCGAAAAGGGTCAGGAACAAGCGCCGAGCAACGAAATAACTAAGGACCAAGGAGCTGCCCGACCCAAACCTCGACCCCCGAGGTCGGGAAAACACCAGGCTCAAGAATCGACCGAACTCGACAAGATATGAGCCCGACCTCGAGTCACCCGAGCTCGGTATCGGGTCTGACCCCGGAAGTCAAAAACATGGTCAACGGAAGGCAAGCGTCAGGCAGTCAACTACCTCGAAAGCGGGAACAAAGGGGCGAGTCCTCTCATCACGAGCCCGAGCTCCCAGATATCGAACTCAGTGATCCCCAAGGTCTGAGTAAGCATCATGGACTTAGACAAAATCCGCAAGGACTTACCTCGCACGGGGACGCCGCCTTGTCACTCTCAACATCAGGGAATATTCCAGTCACCCACGCTTAGCTACACGGGATTTCTGGCAACAATTATGTTAGCAGGAAAATCAATCAGCCAGCTATTAAAGGTTATCTCTCTCCAATCAGCTTTACACGTGGCTGCTCCCCATCGAATTAGTCTGTTAGTTTGTTAGAATAGCTTTACACGTGTCCTTCTCTTATTAGATCAGCATCTTTTTGCTTGGGCACCAAGTATTGCCTGTTCTCCCTTAGTATAAATATCACCTTCCAGCTTGTGGAAATGGATCACCTTTTCAATACACTTATTGTTATTCTGCCGGATAGCATACCTGTACTTTCTTATCAGTTCACTCTCTCCTTTTAGTTGGATTCCTACCACCCCCTATCCGATAATCCATCAGTATTGAAGATTGAAAATATGCATGCTAAATTGCTAACTACATTAGACCTGCAAAGATCAAATTGCAGCTTCACTATCCTTGGACTCATTCTTTTGCTCATCCATTAACACAGCCATGGGCTCCAAGACAAACCTAATGGCAACAGTAGAGATGAAATAAGTAATCGAGCATTCATGCCGTGAAAATCCAAAGGCACGATGATAATTTGAACTTTTGAAGGCATGTTTAGACTTATGAGTTCAGAATTTACGGGTATGAAACTCAAGCTCGTGTAGGCAGCATCACTTTGAACCATATTGGTTCAAGTTTCATTTTTAGCTTCTGGTACAACAGTTTAGGTATCACAGAGGTCATAGGCTTCATTTGGGGTTTCCTGGGACTGCTCACTATCAACCCCAAAATGAGAAACATCATCGGTCATCCAGCATCAACTGTAACAAAGGGGGGATCTTTTTGGGCATCATCAAGAGAGGGGGGAGGAAATACTGAGATTTCCGTAGATGTAACAGGGGCACTAATATCAGTAGCTATACAGGGGGCAACTCTGTCGCCCTCCACTATGTGAACACAGGGGGCAACACGGTCACACGTGAGTAGGTTTGCTACATATGAGACCCAAAAAGGAGCATATTTGAAAGCTAAATGTTGTTCCACGAATGAGGGCTTTATTTGATTCATTATTAATTAAATAAGGCTGCTTACCTTTTAGCAAAATGATGTTGCACGAAGGAGGGCTTTATTTCCTTCAAGGACAAAACAGAATTATAAAAGAGGTCAGAGGAGCTATTTTACTTGAATGTGTACCCCCTATTTCTGTAATGTTGGGGGTTATTAATAGAATTTGGTAAGAAAAAAAGACACTAAGCTGAAAATATGTAGTGTTGGTGGGTTATTAATAGAATTTGGTAATTGAATTTGAACTGAAAATATGAGCCTACCCATACTTCAACTGAAAATCTGGAAAAGATAAATCTGAACAGATGCCCAAAATTTAGATTTCCAAATCCATAAATAAAATGTGAAAGTCTCTCCTCACTAAGCTGAAAAACAGTTAAAAATAATGAGCCCAAAAATGATACTAGTAAGAATGGATATTAGGCTATGCAATTATCTCCTTAATATGAAAAAGATTATTTATTAATAATATTTACTCATTACATATTACCCAAAATTATTTTTGTTAATTAATAAATAAATTCTTTAAAATTTTAATCAAATTTCACATTTTAAATTGTTCAAACTTCACATGAATGTAAAGCATTTGTCTGATCTCTATCTAAAATTCAATTTGATTCTCAAGATTTCATAGTTGTTTAGGTTTCAAGAACAGTTGATTAACTTTGGGCTCGAACTCTTACCTAACGAGTCTCACTAAAGTAAGATTACATATTATCTTAGTTTGTATGAAAAGAGAGGCGAGGTAACTGAGTTAAACCTTGATATTATAGTCATTTGATTGTTGCAGCTCAGTACTAATCAACAATGATTGATATAAAATCAATCCATAAATGTAAACTTTTCAGCTTTCAAGAAGTTTGTTTATTTAAATTATATATTCAGTCTAAATAATTAGACACTCATTACAGTCAACTTTAGCTCCCACCAACTAAGAGCATAACTTACAAAAATCTAGTTTTAGAACTTGCAAAAACAAAATTCTATAACATATAAAAATGTCATAACATATTGAAAGTGTAAACCAAATTCAATTTCAATTTCAGAATCATAATGGGTCATTAAAATAAATTCATAATATACAAATCGAATAGAAATTTGTGTGGAAGTGTAAAAAACAGCAGAAAATCTATATATACATAATAACAATACAATTGGTTACTGTTCAATGAACAGTATTTTTACTGTTCAATGAACAGTAATCCCGCCTAAGCACCGATATCATCACAGCCCTTCGATCAAACAAATCTCCACCTTTCCTTCGCCTCTTTCACCCAAAACAAAACAAAAACCTTCGCCTTTCCTCCACTCATATCCTCCGTTCATCGATGTTCCCATCTCCATCTTCGTTCAATTCTGTTCGTGGCCGCCTTATTCCAGCACCCGCCATCCAAGTCACCACCGGAAAACATCAATCGATTGCTCGCATCCGAGCCGGGGAACAAGAAGAGGACCCGCCATCGATGTTCCCATCTCCATCTTCGTTCAATTCTGTTCGTGGCCGCCTTATTCCAGCACCCGCCATCCAAGTCACCACCGGAAAACATCAATCGATTGCTCGCATCCGAGCCGGGGAACAAGAAGAGGACCAAATCAGGTTCGAATCGCACAAATCGCACCTTTCCTCCGCTAATTTCCTCCGTTCATCGATGTTCCCATCTCAATCTTCGCTCAATTCTGTTCGTGGCCGCCTTATTCCAGCACCCGCCATCCAAGTCACCACCGGAAAACATCTATCCAAGCCGGGGAATAAGAAGAGGACCAAATCAGGTTCGAACCGCACAAATCGCACCTTTGGTTCAGACTTGTGGCAAAAGTATCCAAGCCACAATTTTGGTTATGCATATGGTGTTGTCCATCGATGCCCAAAGACTCCAGCAAAATCAGGTTTGATTTCACACTATCAATTTTAATCGACTATTTGTATGCATAATTAGGTTTCTTATTCATTTTATCAATTATAATCACCTGGTTCTGTTTGTACGGTTATCAATTATTCAGACCTGATTTCCTCACCATAGATGCCCAAAATGGGTCTTGGAGCTTCAGACCACTCAGGAGTTGAAGCATGCATTCAAAAAGGGGAAAAAATGCAAAAGATCAGGGCGAGAGAGAAGCAACAATAAAGGATACAATGAAGGATAATCCCAATAATTTGTGATTGCTTCCTATCAATTGCTGAATTGAATCCAAACAATCTATGGATGTAAAAATGTTTAGAATACCTTAATTGAAAACAATGTGAAAGATAATGGACAAACTTAATTAAATAGGAAATTAAAGATATAAGTTGGTTTTTTGGCTGATTAGGAATGAGGAATTGAACTCACAAATCAAAATCTAACCTCAACTCTGGATTCATCAATTATAATCACCTGGTTCTGTTTGTATGGTTATCAATTATTCAATTTGTATGGCAGATCTGAGCATAACCCTGATTCTGTTTTCTTATACATAGTTGCCTGAAACATGAAATAGCTCCTTTTATCAAGGGAAAGCAACATTAAAATGTACAATGCATAATCTATATGATAGATGTACACCTATCCATTGTGTTAGATTCTCTTTTCTTTTCATATATCCATATTGCCATAGATGTCCATACAAATGCTTTTATGAATCTGTTTAGATATTTTTAGACAACAAAACATATGGTAATGCATATGGGGTATAGAATTAGGACATATGAAATTGTCCATACATCTGGAGGACAATCAGAGAATATGTTTAGATATTTTTAGACAACAAAACATATGAATGTTGATGTTGTGATTTCAAAGGACAATCAGAAGATTTTAAATGTTCAAGCCTGCTCATTTAAATGTTTACATAGGTATGATTTGCCATTATGATTTTAAATGTTCAAGCCTGCTCATTTAAATGTTTACATAGGTATGATTTGCCCATAATATGATTATTCAAACTGAAAATTTATGTTCTAAATAAAAAAGCTGCATATATTAAATAATGGAAAAACTCTTGAATATGATAGGAGAAAGGTTTTGAAAGATGATGAGATAGTTATAATTAATAGTTATTCAGTTTTGCTTATATAAAAAATATGTTCTGATGGACAATCACATGTTACTCCATCTTCTCTCCTTTAATTTACTTTCACAAGCTTAGTTTTGTTTTTTAAAACTATCCTTTTAAGCTGATTATAGTTGTTCTTTTAAATATGAATGAGATATCTTAACATATAGTAAGAGGTGGCAAAGCTGGATGAAAACATACATGATGGCTGATTCCTAGAATTTTTAGCATTTGAAAGCGTAAAGGCTTCAGATTAGTCGTGGTTAAAGTATTGCATATATTGGGTTGTCTGGCCATACACCATGCTTTAAAGTAAAACTATCTTACTTTCCTGCATCCCATTTGCTATCAATAGTATAAAAAATCTAACTTCTTATCTCGAACATTTTTACCTAGAACATTTTTAGCTGCTTACTTTTACTTTATATCCATTAATGAGCTTTTCTAATGCACTGATATAATTAATTGGCCAGATGAAGTAGAGGAAAATTGGTATTGGGGAGCCAACAACATACATGGCCCGTTGACTGTTGGCAGGTTGAGCTCTTCTGCAAATTTTATAGTGTATATATTTGTTTATTAAAAAAATATTTAAAAATGGTAAGATATCTCTATCATATAGAAACCCTTTTTATTTAGAATAAAAACTTGAAAATGGTAAGTATATTCATCACATATCAAACCTAGAAAATAAAACTATAAGGAAACCTGCACTTGTATAAGACAGTTTTCAGACAACCTTCATCTTCCTTCTGCATCTGTATAATATGATGATGGGACTGACTCTATATACAATGGAAGGAGAATTCATGAAAGTGATATTCCTATAGACCAAGCTGCAGCTTCTTTCATTCAAATAAGTGGACAGGTACATGTCTGAAAGCTTCAAAAAAGAATAATCCATCCCTAAAACATCATATGTTTCATTTGTGTTGTGACAGTGTTGGGGTATGTGTACTAAAATTTCATTATTGCTAATCACATTTTTACCTAGAATATTTTTTACCTAGAACGTTTTTATCATATAATTTTGAAATTCTGTTTCAAAGTATCATATTTACATGATTCACCTCTTTTTCTCAAGTTTAGGAGTGTTAAAATGGTCAGTATTACGTACAATAAAAGAAATGTTTTGTTTGTTAAATAAATTCTTTAAAAAATAGTAAGTATGATCTACCTTATATATAACTTTTATTTAAATAAAATAAAAACTTAAAAGCAATATATTCACCATATAATAATCCTAGAATCAAAACCTAGAACGTTTTTATCATATAATTTTGAAATTCTGTTTCAAAGTATCATATTTACATGATTCACCTCTTTTTCTCAAGTTTAGGAGTGTTAAAATGGTAAGTATGTCGTACAATAAAATAAATGTTTTGTTTGTTAAATAAATTCTTTAAAAAATGGTAAGTATGATCTACCTTATAAGAAACATTTATTTAAATAAAATAAAAACTTAAAAGCAATATATTCATCATATAATAATCCTAGAATCAAAACCTAGAAGGAAACACTTTTGTAAGGAAACGTGCATCCTATGTATACATGAGATAAATCTACCTTCTATTTTTAGACTCACATAATAAATCTGTTTAGTTAATAAACGTCGTATTTCGTTTCTATATTTATTCAGAGTCACTATGTGAATGGTAAGAATCTACCTTCTATTTTAGACTCATATCATATAATAAATCTTTTTAGTTAACAAAAGCCTTATTTCGTTTCTATATTTATTCAGAGTCTATACTATATGAATGGTAAGAATCTACCTTCTATTTCAGACTCATATCATAATAAATCTGTTTAGTTAATAAAAACATATTTCGTTTCTATATTTATTAGGAATCCAAACTGTATGAATGGTAAGAATCTTCTATCATTAATTATATTTTGTTTCTACATTTATTTATTTTCTTCACGTGCACTTAAATACAGATATCATTAATAACCCTAACTATATAAGGAAATGTGCATCTTCTAAATTACAGAATGAATCATTGAGATTCATATTTAAGGGTCCAAACATATTTACACACCACCACCAAACGACCTTCTATTATATATATACACGCACATACCATAAACTCATAGAGTACTCGAGCATCTTAGTATTTCAAGGCAGAGGTTCAACAGGTATGTCATTAACCTTTTATAGTTCAATAATCTTTCACCATGTAATGATTGACCTTCATTCTGATATAAATGCTTCGTGAACTTACATCATATGATACATGTGTTTAGTTGTTATTAATAATTATTATAATTATTATAATAGTTATTATTATAATTATTATAATATCATTATAATAATTATATTTCTTTTCGGAGTTATACTTTCCAATTTAGTCAATCCTGTCATAAGTTTTCTACTTTAGTCAATTTAGTCAATTATATGCTTCTCGAAAGTTATCTCGCATCATATTACACACACCTCTTCTCAAAGCTTATATTCAATGCAGCAGGTCCGAGGATGCTGGTTTTATGGTGTGATACATGCAATATTTTCTTCACGAAATTGGGCTTATTTTGGTTGTAGTGACGCAAAGTGTTGTAAGAAACTGCGTGAAGAAGATGTAGTGTGCACCAAGTGCGGTAGAAGTAGAGATGAGGGTGTTTGGCGATACACTTTGAAAATGAAAGTCAGGCATGGGACAACTTTTGCCGATGTAATGTTCTGGGATGAGGAGGCAAGGCTACTACTTGGAAAGGCTGCAGGAGATCTCCACGAACACCTCGATGTGGTACTTATGTACTTCATTTTTAAATTATTTGTTTAAAAATATATTTATATTCATATACTGTGACATATAATATCCAAACAACTAACTGTTTGTAGGCAACACTTAGACCTATCAGCTGCCCTGAAGTCATATCTGAATTGATTGGACGAGAATATCTATTCAAAATCAAGTCTGCAAGCACAAACTCTAACTATGGTGAACAGGTTTATGTAATAGGCATGATATCGAGCGATAAAGAAAAAATAAAACAATTCAAGTTGGCAGCAGGCACTGAGGGAACGAGTTCTGAGGTAGTATACCTCAAACATGTTAATATATCGTTGTTTCATTAAATGTTTATCCATTTTAAAACATAAAAATTATCCACAGGCGTACAATTCTGATGAAGATTTGGAATTGCTTTTTGAATCTGTGCCGACAATGGACTCAAATGTGGTAATACCTTAATTCTATATATGTATTATTATTTTTACATCCAGTTTGTTTTCTCTTAATATTATTATTACAACCTCTACTATTATTTTTATATTCTGGCCATTTTCATTCTAAGAGTAGGCACATTACAAAACAAATTTTTATTTCAGGTTATTTCAGACACTGAAACTGATGGGAAAGGAACTCCAAAATCAAGTGGACGATGTCGAGAATCGGAAGAAGCAGTCATTTGTGATGTCAACGGCTCAACACAGGGCTCAAGCAACAAGAAACTTAAGCCCGTGAAGATTGAAAAGCCATGATATTGAATTATTATTTGCTATTTAATTTCGTACCGCCTTTTATACTTTTGTTCACGTATTGTTTCACACAATTTTGATCTTAGACTTCTCAATGCCATTGAATTTTCATTTGATATTTTATGAGTGTTATTTTGAGTGTGTAAGACAGTAAGAATATTGACTTTAATGCTACTTACATACAAAGATAATATTATGGCTAATATTAATATTGAATGGGGTTGAATTACAGAGTATTAAGTTTTCTAAATTCGTTTCATTGCAAGTTCAAGGACATATATGAATATTTACACTTCACATATTGTTATAAATAATAATATTAATATAGCATTTTTTTACTATTTATCTCTTTCTTAGAAAGAGCATTATAACAATATGTGATCATACGTGTGGATCAATTAAAGTGTTCTTCAAGTATGGTTCTTTTATTTACAATGTATTAAAAATATTTCAATAAATGATAACTTACTAAATGAAAAAAATTTAATTAATTAAACAGTAAAATTAAAATTCGAAAACCTAAATACATTTTTTAATTAATTGCAAATTAAAAAAAACGTAACCAAATTATGCACATATATTTTGTAAATATTTGGAACCAAGTAAGAAATCTCCTATATAAGTAAACCCATTAATACATGTTAATACTTGCTATGTTTCACTTATAACTGAAATTTAACAAACATTTTTTCGATGCAGTTGTCTACACTATTGAATTTCAAAAGCGTGGTTTGCCTCATGCCCATATAGTGTTATGGGTTACTCAGAAAGGTAGAAGAATATCACCCTCAGAGATTGATGAGATTATATCAGCAGAGATACCTGATGAGAAGTCTGACCCGGAATATTATAACGTGGTCAAAGAACTTATGATGCACGGTCCTTGTGGTGCAGCAAACAAGTCAGCACCATGCATGGACAAAAATGTTTGCACAAAACATTTCCCCAGACGTTTTGTTCAGCAAACAACCATTGATGGGGATGGTTATCCAGTTTATAGGCGACGAGATAATGGTAGATGTGTTACAAAGGGTGATGTGGATCTGGACAATAGACATGTTGTCGCGCATAATCGTACATTGCTTCTCAAATATGGTGCACACATAAATGTTGAGTGGTGTAACCAAACAAGGTCGGTCAAGTATCTTTTCAAGTACATAAATAAAGGCGATGACCGTATCACCGTAGAAATTTCTGAAGCAGTGGATGACTCCAAACAACAACAAGTTGACGAGATTAAAATGTATTACGATTGTCGCTACATCTCAGCATGTGAGGCTGCATGGAGAATATTTGGGTATCCTATCCATTACAGGGATGTGTCAGTGGAATGTCTCAGTTTTCATTTGCCAGACGAGCAACCGGTATACTACCACCCGGATGAGCCGATGGAATCTGTTATTGGGAAAAGCACAGTTAGGGACACAAAATTCTTGGCTTGGATGAAGGCAAATGAAAAATATCCAGAAGCATGAGAGTTGACATACGTTGAATTTCCAACCAAGTTTACTTGGAAACAATCAACCAGGGAGTGGGTGCCAAGGAAAAAGGGCTTCTCAATTGGTCGTGTGTTTTTTGTACGTCCTGGGGCAGGGGGAAAATTCTATTTGAGGACGCTACTGAATGTTGTTAAAGGTGCTACATCTTTTGAAGAGTTTCACACGTATAATGGTACATTATTTCCCAGCTTTAGGGATGCTTGCTATGCCCGTGGGTTGTTAAAGGATGATAAGGAATATATAGATGGGATCACAGAGGCAAGTCATTGGGCATCAGCATATGCATTGCGTAATTTATTTGTTACTCTTTTGTTGTCGGATGTGTTGTCAAAGCCACAATTGGTATGGGAGAAGTGCTGGCAATACTTTTCAGAGGACATACTCTACAACATTAGAAGAAACCTCAATGACCCTGGTATGTTACTAAACTCACTATTCAACTTTGACTAAGTTCTGTGCATGAGTTTTTATCATATTACAAATATTTATAATAAAAATATGTATATGGATTAAAAAAATTAATTAATATTTTCTTCTTATAATATGATTTTAGTCTTTTTTATAGACTGCAATTTACATTGTGTTTTCATACATTAAATATGAAAATAATTCTATCAAAGCAGCTATATTTAACTTTGATGCATTAAAATGAATGAACTAAAATGGAATATGTATTTTATTTATTAAATGATAATAAATATTAAATGACAATGGATTGTTTAAATAAATACTTAAATGATTTAAAACATTTATTACAATGAGAAATAATATGACCTACAGTTTTAGGATGCACTACTTCATTCCCAGACCAGATCAAAGGAATCCACACTTGAATTAATTGATTCAATTCTAACCGAGTTTCCGTGCATGACCTTTTATCATATTACAAATATAAATAATAAAATATATGTGTGTAGAGTACCAATTGAGCACAGATGATGTGAAAAAATATTGCTTGATCGAGATTGAGAAGTTGTTAAGGAAAAGGTGCAGATCACTGCGAGATTTTGTGGGAATGCCAATGCCACCTGAATCCGATATTCCTTCCATTGAAGACACCATAATTCATGAAGAGTTTAAGTATGACAAATCTACTATGGCTGAGACACATGCAAAATTATTGAAAAACATGAATGAAGAGCAACGAAGTGTCTATGATAAAATCATGGCATCTGTTGACGGGACAAGTGGAGGTGTCTTCTTTTTGTATGGTCACAGTGGCACTGGAAAAACATATGTATGGAAGACTTTATCAGCAGCAATAAGATCACGAGGTCAAATCGTGTTAAACGTTGCATCGAGTGGGATTGCATCACTTCTTCTTCCTGGAGGACGTACTGCGCACTCAAGGTTTGCTATTCCACTCAATGTTACTGAAGACTCAACCTGCAATATAAAGCGTGGTAGTCCGTTGGCTAAATTGATTCAAATGGCCAAGTTGATTATTTGGGATGAGGCCCCTATGATACATAGGTATGATTTGCCCATAATGAATTAAAATATTATCTATTCCATTAAATTACAATATCATTTTATTTAAACTAAAAAAAAATTATACTTATTTTATTATATGTAATAAAATTAGTTTGGTTATTATATTGTTTTTTAACATCATCAACATCATGAACTGCTTTTTAAAGTATTATTATGAATACAATTATTTGTAGTATTATTTACTCTAGATTATCTTATTGTTCTATTTATTGATATTAATTACTAAACTTTTAAACTTTCATTCATAAAGCTAAACAAATTGCGCCACAAAAGGTCAAGAATACTTACATACATAGTATTTATGATTTAAAAAAAGGCTATAAAAAAGGTTGCAATAGTAATTTTAGTCATGTTAGCTTATATTCAAGTTTTACAATTGAGTTGTCGCGAGTACACAACACTACATTGTTGTAACTTTTATTCTTTTTTTTTAAATATGTTTTAATAAAATTAACATTTTTGAACTAACTGCATCTTTTAAGAGATTATATTTAATTATCATAATTGATGTGTTCAAATGGGTATTAATACTATAAATCTAATGAATTATTGTTACCTTTTTTATATAAATTTTAACAGGCATTGCTTTGAAGCTCTAGATAGAAGTATGAGAGATATACTTTCTTGCTCTCATGATGGCAATCCAAAATTGCCTTTTGGTGGAAAAACAATTGTTTTTGGTGGAGACTTTAGACAAGTGTTGCCTGTCATTCCTAAAGGCACCAGACAGGATATTGTTCATGCATCTTTGAATGCATCACATTTGTGGCAGTATTGTACGGTGTTGAAGTTAACAAAAAACATGAGACTCAAGAACTTCACAAATGAATCAACCAATCCAAGAATTTTGAAGCTTTTTGCCGATTGGATACTTCATATTGGTGATGGTGTTTTAGGAGAGAGCGAAGATAGAGAAGCGGAAATTGATATACCGGAAAATTTTCATGTTCCAGAAATGTCTGATCCCATTGCATCCATTGTCAACGCTACTTATCCAGATTTTTTGAAGAACATGAACAACATCTCATATCTTGAAGGGAGAGCAATTCTTGCACCGACAATTGATGAGGTAGACAAGGTCAATGACTTCATGCTGCTGCTGAATAGCTCAGAGGAAAAGACATATTTCAGTTCAGATTCAGCGTGTTCCTCAACCTCAGACAATGACCTCCTTCAGGAAATTCATTCTCCTGAATTCCTTAACGGCATAAAATGTTCTGGTGTTCCAAGTCACGAGTTGAAGCTAAAAGTTGGTGTACCGGTGATGCTCATGAGGAATATAGATCATTCGGCCGGCTTGTGTAATGGTACCCGACTTTTAGTGACAAAACTTGGTGAACATATTATTGAGGCGCAAATGATGTCTGGAACTAATGCAGGTGAGAAATTCCTTATCCTGAGGATTAGTCTAACCCCGACAGATGTGAGGCTACCTTTCACATTCATGCGTAGGCAATTCCCCTTGATGGTTAGCTATGCAATGACAATGAACAAGAGCCAAGGACAATCGTTAGAGAATGTGGGCGTTTTTCTACGACGACCAGTTTTTACACATGGGCAGTTATATGTTGCAGTTTCGAGGGTGACGAGTCCGTCTGGATTGAAGTTCGTGATATGCGACGACGAGGGAAATAGGAAAAAGACCGCAAAAAATGTTGTCTACAAAGAAGTTTTCAATAATTTGTAAAATTGTATACTTATTAAATTCTAAATATTTTTTATTATGTATTTATTAGTCGTTACTCTCATTCCCGTGATAAATTATAATATAATCTTTAATTTCATTTAGAGGTAGAATGATTTTTGTATACTTATAATATTTGTATCTTACACCCCGTGCAACGCACGGGTGGAATACTAGTTGTAGTCATTAATTCACTAATTTTAAAACCTATATCAAACTCAAAAATAGCTTATGCATAATAGAAGTGTAAAAAATGATAATAAAAAAACAAAGCTAGGGATGTGAAACCTTGATTAAGGGGTCAGTCCAAGAAGAATATGAGAACCAGCGAATTCAAGAAGTCGACAAACCTGTGAGTCGAAGAACTAATTGAGCAAATCATGATTCTAACAGCAAAGATGGTTAGAATAAAAAATACGATGAAGGTTGATCCTTACCGTCGAAGATGGTTGGAGAAGACGATGAAAGCCGGTGGTTTGCGGTTGTCGGCAATAGTTACGTCGGAGAAGACGATGAAGCCTGGTGGTTTGCAGCTGTCGACGATGGTTGGAGAAGACGATAAACGTTGGTGGATTGCGGCGGTCAGCGATGGTTGGAGAAAACGATGAAGGCTGATGGGGCAGATGAGAAAACAATGAAGGGTGAGGCTGAAGAAATGCGTGAAAGAGCACGAGAGGATAATAGAGAAGACGAAGTGCTGAATGTGGTCGGTCAGAGAGAGTGCTTTAGCGGGAGATAGGGGTTTTAGCAAATATACTGCACTTTTGGTTCTTCAGCGGGAGATTTTTTATCTTTGCCGCTCCTTGAAAAATATAGACTGGTTGTCAAAGTGCATCAAAGATTTCATTTAACGTCATTATATTTCATTGATACTTTTTGTGTCATGACATACAACACTTATTTGTTAGAAATCTCATATGTCATCCTTTTATGACACTATTAGAAAAAGTGTCACTAAAAAGGTGTCACTGTGAGTCAGTTTTCTAGTAGTGCGGGTGGTGTGGCATTTGGGTTGAAAGGAGGATTCAGGCTGTTGGTTGTTTGAAGATGAGGGTTGGTTTGGCTACATTTGTTGTTGGCTAGTGGAAGCACCATGCTCAAGTATCTGATGCTTCTTGTTCTCCCCCTCATGTGAACGTTTATTGCTATGGAGAGTGGCACATCGTGTGCTTTGGGTTTGAAGGAGACAGAGATGGGCTAGTTGGTTGGGGTTAAGATGTCTTCTCCTTATAAAAGTTGGGCGAGCATGATAGAGGTTAAGTCATCAAGTGGGATGGCATAAGGATTAGGGTATGGCGTGGTCGAGGTAGGGGAGGACACACGTTCTGTATCCTGGGTTCCCCGGGACGTGGTAGGTGTTTGGGGTTTGGTGGTTGATGATTCAGATGTTGGTATGGATACGGTTGGGGTTGATTGTGGTTGTGAGATAGAGGGTGTGGGTTGTGGTTGGATTTGATCATTCTGAATCACTTGGGTTTGTCTAAAGTCACGTGCTCTTGTGGTTATTGCAGAGTGCACCCTTGACATTATGGTGGACTCAAGATAGCAATTCAGAAGGCCAGTAAAGGGTATAGGGTCAAGGTTGCCAGTTACAAAGGTGGTAACCGTTCTCACAGCATCAGTAAAGAGTACAGATGTGTGGCCTGCAGATAATGATGGAATCATTTGTTGTGAGGCAGGACTTCCGATCATGATCGAATTTTCTCCGATCGTTGTAGACAGGTATAGTCGACCTGTAGTGGGTGGTGTGAATAGTGTATGTGTCCTAGAAAAATCGGAAAATGAAGGGAGTGGGACACCTAGACTCAATGTGGTAGAAGAAGGGGTAGTAGTCTCGGGCGGTTGACTACTAAGTATATCCTCAGTTGCTCCATATGGGGGGTAGAGAGGTGGGTATGAGTTCCCCGGATGTTGAAACTACTATCTCTTGGGAGGCAGCATAGTGGGTTGGGAGGTTTGTGCATGCGCAGTTGGACCAGATGCTGCATCTTTTACCTGGGAACTGACAAGGTCAGCTCCTGTACCCAAGGGGTCGGTCCCGTTTATATCCTGGATGTCTTCACAGTCGTCGAATTATGTCACTTCTTCTTCCAGGCTGATATGTGTTTGTATCCTCTTAGTAGGAATTAATGATGGGGGGACGTTGTTTTGATGCTTGGAGCGCGTCTCACTGATAATGGTGCCTTCTTTGTTTTTCGTGAGTAAGATGCCTCTTTGTCAGCCGTAGGGAACTTGATAATGAAACATTGTCGTACCGGCGGTTCCCAAGCTTGATTGTCGTTGTTGCTGGCATCATCATCGTCCCCATCTTTGTCATTGTTGTTGCTCTTATCAGTCTTGCGACCAGAGTTCTCATCGTCAACGTTTGTTTCTTTGGCTGAGATGAACGAATCACAGGAAACATCCTCAGCAACATGAGGATGGCCCTCAGCAAACGTAGCTTAATCATCACGGGGCCTGTCTGCCACTGGTATCTGTGGCTGGGTTGAACTCTCAGGGCCCTCACTTACTCTCGGTTGACTCTACGCGTGGGCATAACGGTTCGGTTTGACCGAACCGAACCGTACCAAACCGAATTAAACCAAACCGAAACCGGACCATTTGTAATTTGGTTTGAGTTTGGTAGTATTCCTCCCAACCCATATTAAACCGAACCAAACCGAACCGAAATCATAAAACCGAATAAAACCGAACTAATCTAAAAATTAAATATTTTCTTATATTTTTAAAATAACAAATCAAAACCAACTTACACCAAACTAAATCAAACTAAAATATAAGATTTCTCTCATTAATTTGATTGATGTAAATCTTTTTGAAGCTTTAATGCTTTAATTTAGTGTTGAGGATTAGAGTTTACTACAAGACTTATTTTCACAACTATAACAATTATAGTGGTTTAAGTAGATAGTATTTAACTATAATTTATTATCTACTACAACTATATATTTGGTTCATTACTTACAAGCACCAATTTTGTTTTTGTTTCGACTTTATATATAATTTGATTCATTCTCGTTGTTGTTGTTGATTACAAATGTGTCATGCTTATATATTTTTGGTTCATATGTATTTTGTTACTGTTTGCAAATTTATATCTAACATTATATTTGGTTCATTACTATGGCTTCTCGGTTCATTATTTTGAGTTTTTCTTATTTCAATCCAAACCTTAATACTTTGGTAAACCGAACTCCAAACCGAACCGAACTG